CATTAAGTGAAATAGTATATGAATATTAGAACTAGGAAAAAGAGGGAGACATAGAAAAGGGAAAAATATTCAAAGAAATAATGCCTAAACTTCCCAAATAAAACATTTTCTACATATTCAAGGAGCACAAAGAATTCCAATTAGTATAATAGATTAATACCCAAACACAACCCAATAAGACTACTAGGGATGAGAGGAAGAAAAAATTCTTACAGAAGCTAAAGAAAAGCAACTTATTATGTAGAAAGAAACTCCATTTAGCTTTATAGCTGACATATCATCAGAAACAATAAGAGCCAGAGGGTTGTGGGATGGTATTTCATAAACAAACTGGTATGAAGAATCGTATCCCTTAAAGCTATGTTTTGCAAATAAAGATCAAATAAAGACATTCCAAATAAAACCAAAGAGGATTTGTTAATCAGACTTGCCTCACAAGAAATAGCCCAGTGATCCCAGACATTAATTTTAATCTGCCCCAATAAATTTAAGTTATAAAAGAACACAAGTATGTATTTCTTCTCTTATTGACAAAAGGAAGTATATAAAATATACATTACTGTACTGTTACACCAAAAACATACAGAAACATAATAAACCTCCCAGTAACAGCACAAAGGAAGTAAGTGAAAACGAACCTGTACTAGAACAAGAACATAAAACCAGATGGAAACTTGAATCCACAGGACCAAATGAAAGCAACCAGAAATGGTAAATAAAAAGTCTAATTAGAATAGGCGCCAGTGGCCCAACTAGTAATCTTAGCTATTCAGGAGGCTGTTATCTGAGGATCATAATTCAAAGTCAGTCTAGGCAGGAAAATCCGTGACACTCTTATTTTCAATTAACCATCAAAAATCTACATGTAGAGGTATATCTCAAGCAGCAAAGTACCAGCCTAAGCAAAATCTCAGGGACATCACTCTGGCCCTGAGTTTAAGCTGCAGTACTGGCACAAAAAAAGGAGGGTTCACAGTGTAACCCCCGCTTTCACTATATTTGATGTCAGTATAACATGTGGAGGAGATGGGGACAAACAAGTCGTTTAAGGATTCAGGTGGACCTGTTGTAACAATGAGAAGTACAAAATGTCATGTCAAAACCAGCTTTACAATGTCGGTGGGGGGGGGGAGGGGGGTATGATTGGGTGGGAGGGAGGGGGGAGGCTGGGAAGGGAGGTGAAGGGTAAACAAAGGAGGAGGCTGCAATGCTTGGCAAGAAATGTATGCATTATCCTGCCCATGTAATTGTAACCCCTCTGTACAGTATGTTCTCAAATAAAATAAAATAAAATTTACAAAAAAAAAAAAAAAGGGAGGGTTATATAAGAAACTGTTGACCTATACATACATTTTCCCAGCTTCCTTAACACATATACATTATATAATGATTCTAAAAATGTATTGTTGGGCTGAAACACACATATATGCATATATGTATACATATGAATACATATGTACATATATACATATGTGTATATATACACACATATATGTGTGTATGGAGGAGATAATATTTACAACAATGATACATAGTCATTTAGGAATAAACAAGGAACTCATTGTAATTAAAAAGATTCAGATAAGTTAACACATATATTGTAAACACTAGAATAATTCTAAGAAAATAAATTCAAACTCAACAATAACATTGATGTGCTTAACTTAAATTACTCAATCAAAAAGTAAAGAGATTGTATGGCTGAATTTACCCTCCCCTCAAAAAACAAACATAAGCTCTCTGTATGACATACTTCAGATCTAAAAATATAAACTGACCACAAATAGATACAAAAGTATTTTATGCAAACAATAACTGTAAGAAAACTAAAGTAGCTATACTAATATTTCAAAAAGTAAAACATGTAACTAGAGGTAGGAGGAATTTACAATGTAATATCATAAAACAACAATTTAATAATGTAAAGGGAATACAGATTGTAGAGATAGAGAGATAAATTAATTTATCTGTCTATTCAATTCCTGCTTCAATAATAAAAACAAAGTCAATGGTTTGACAAGGATATAGAATACTGTATTGAGACTATAAACTATCTAGATCTATAGAACACACCACCCAGAGGCAGAATGCACACTTTTATTAAGTATATATGGAACATTCACTAAGACAAACCATTCATTAGACAACTAGAAACTTTCTATGAATTTAAAAGGATCTAGATCTCTCTGGTTACAAAATGGATAGAGATTATGAATCATATAAAAACTTGGGAAATTAACCGAATCCCAAATAAACATTGGGTTAAAAAGAAATCAGAAGGTTAGGAAATACTCTGAGATAAAAATACAAAAGTAACATTCTAAAATTCATAGGCTACAACTAATCAATATTTAGGAAAAATTAATAACTATAAATTCCTTGGTTTAAAACAGAAAATCTCAAGTCAATAATACAACTCTCAAGAAACAAGAAAAGCACAAATAAAATGAAAAGCAATCATCATCTAAAGTTTAAAAAAAAATAGAGCAGAATAGTAGAAAACAATAGACACAAAATAGAGGAAAACAATAAAATCAAATTTTGGTTCTTTGGCAAGATCAAGAAAATTGGCAAGCCTTAAGCTAGACTGAGCAACCAAAAAGAAGATTCTTAACTAATAAACCTTCTAAGGAGAATATTGTTTTTCACACCAATGGTTACATTAATTACCATGGATCAGATGCACTTAAATTCATTAAAGCTATGTAGAAAGGCATCAACCTCAGTTTGTTGATCTTGTATTTTGTAAGAAAAAGAAGGAGGAAGAAGGAGAAGGAGGAGAAGAAAAGAAGGAGGAGGAGGAGGGTGAGGGGAGGAGAGGAACAAACAAAAAAAAGAGGGGAAGAGAAAAGAAAGCCACCCATTTATCCAATAGAACACAAAATAGGCCACACTAACGCCACTAGCCCAACCATGTTCATTGCAGCCTTGTTTACCATAGCTAAGATATTGCGTAAACCCAGATGCCCCTCAGTGTACAAATGGATCAACAAAATGTGGTATATATACACAATGGAATTCTATGTTTCCATCAGAAAGAATGACATTGTCCAATTCATTCATAAAGAACATGGAAAGACTTGAAAAAATTATACTAAGTGAAGCATGCCAGACCTGTGGAAATATAGTTTGCATGGTTTCCATCAGTTGTAATCATTAGAATGTGCCTATAAATCTACAAGTAAACTACATGGATAGGATAGTAAAAGACAAATAATTACACCTACATATGATTAAACAGGATTCTAAACATTCATACAGTGAGATCAAAGGAAGATATTCTTAGGAGAGGATCACAAGGGCTCAATAGTTATGTATATATGATCATATAAAATGATGTTTATTGAAATGAACATCAAGAAATGGAAGTAAGAGGATTTTTATTGTACTATTTACCATTTTTTTCTTCTGTTTTTCCCTTTTGTCACTGTTTTATATTTCTGTAGCCTTTGTCTTGTATATAAGTTTATCTGACTTGGGGAGGAGAAGTAGAAGCACAGAAATTGTAAGACAAAGAAAGAACTAATTCAGCAGTGTTACTCACCAGATACTATGTTGGAAATGAACTATACAACTTGGGGCAGGCGGTGCTGGGCAGGAACAAAAACTGGGAGAAAAAGAAATGTACTCATTACCTGACTTATGTAACTATAACCCCTTGGTACATCACCTTTACAATAAAAAATAAAAGAAAAAAGGCCACCCTAATTTTCCAGATTTTTTAATTGGCCTGTATCTCTATTTAAGTATCTCCTCCCTTTTGGTCTAGACTCTTTGTTCAATTTCAGAGTCTCTCATGATGTAAGTTTACTTTTGTTTCATATCCCACCACCAAAATAGTATAGATTGGAGATTTAGGGTTGGTTTGCTTTTTTTTTACTTTTGATGATGGGCAAATCATACTTTCAAATCCATTGCTACAAACGCAGACTAACAGCAGTATTTTTATTCTGAGTTGGAGTTAGGTTAAGTGCCATGAAAAGGTTTCCATATTAAAGAATATTAAGCCTCCAAAGAACCTCACCAATAGGCACTGATCTCAATCAAGAAGTTCATTTCAGAAAATAAAGTGCTCCAGTAAAATAAATAAAAATCTAGAGGATAAAACATAGAAAACTAACTTATTACTTGAGATCATTGCTAATGGTTTTTTTTTTTTTTTTAGGAGACCTTCCTTTAAAAAAAAAATTATGAAAATACCGTATAGAGGGGTTACAATTACATGGACAATGAGTACATTTCAAGCATTGTTGCCTCCTCCTTTGTTTCTCCTTCCCATTCCTTCCTATCCCCCACCCCTTTTGTTGTTAGACTTGTCAATTTGTATGCTTTAGGAGAGGTGGCAGGAAACATGGGCAGTCCAAGAACCCAGTCCCATACGACTGGCGAGGCAAGCAACTGAGCAGTGTTTTAAAGTCCTGGGTCCAAGTGTAGTGCCAGGAGCACCGGCAACAGGGTATGCCTGAAGGACTTCAGACTAATCTTTTGGTGTTAACTACAAAGGAAGGTACTTCTGCAACCCATGTTTGCCCATGAATGGTACCTGTAGTAGTCTGAAAGATACCAGTGTTAATCATGCTTTTTGTACACATGCCTTCCCATTTCCTCCTTGGTGCATACTATACTCTATAAAGGAAGTACCCAGGTCCTCCTGTCTTTCAGCAGTTCTGCCTGTTGCGGCCCAACTGTGCTCCAGAGCTGCCAATGTATTCTAGCCACCCGCCCTGCCCCACAAGCCCCACTTTCCTCACTGCTGCTTCAGTCCTTTCTCTTTCCTGCCTACATTTCCATGACAAGGCTTTTGGCTTCTGTTTTCAGGGATATTTGAGATGGTTACTATTGTGTCACTTCCTTATGCTACTGCTAAAACAATACATCTAAAAACCTGTGAATGCACACCTATTCCACCTACTCCTAAAAGATATTTTAGCATTCCTACCACTCTGCATTACACATCCATCCAAATTGAAACTGTAGTTGAGTAATTCATTTTACAACAATTATAACAACAAAAAATATTTATTGTGCTCTTCCTTTGAGCCAAGGACTTCATTGCTTTACATAAATTCTCATTCTGTCACATCTGACAATAAGTATATGCTCAAATTTGCAGTAGCACTTACAATTAATTAAAATAAGGGTATTGTTGGCCAGCTTTCAAAGAAGTGCAATCTATACAATAAAATACGTTGAAGTTTTATAAAGTGTAGATTTAAATTAAAACAGGACACTTCTAAATCCATATTTTTATTTGTGGAAAATAAAGCTATTCCTGGTGTGCTGTACCCATCTTCTTTACATCATTATATCTCTTATGCCATTCTCAAATTTTTAGAAACCACAGCTTCAGATATTTCATATTAAATTCATATGTTCAAGTAAATCCTTTAAGAAATAAAGTGGGTTTTATATCACTTCATCAACTTAAATTATCTTCCATGACAAATCAGCTTGACAATAATTTTGGTATGGGTACTGAAAAATACCATAAGGTGGGTTTTAATGATCCTTTTCAGTGCACTGTAAAGCTCTAGGCTATTCTTAATCAAAGTTCTTATTTTACTATCAAGAATTATACTAGTCTCAACATGAACAAATTTTCTGTTAGAGAGAAGAAATGGAGATTACTAATGCCAGAAATGCATTTTTGTCTATCTCAATATTAAATACATGATATATATTCATGTTAATATAAACTCTGAAAACTAGCTTCATTTTTTCTACACATAAGCCACATACAGTACGTGTGCAATGTATATGGGCATATAATGTGGGGCCTGTCTTGAATGTACAGCCACTTCTTATACTTCATTACAGCTTTGTACAGGCAAGTGTAATGGATGTCCACCAAAGGTCATTAGACAAAGACAAACACTGCAGGCTGTGGGGATAAAGTGAAGCTTCAGTTCACAAGTTTCCATTTCCCATCCAAGGACACACCACAGGACCACTGTCTTCCTCCTTTAGGCAAAAGAATAAAACAACTAAGTTACTAACATTCTTCCACAGCTTACTCCATAATATCTTCATGTAACTTTTCCACAAATGCTACCATAATTTTGTTTCTGGGGCAGAATCAACTAGTACAAAATTTCACAGGAACAAATGTTTTAACCAAAATAAATTAAACTACAGACAAAATATTTGCATATTACATCTTATAAATAAAATTAAGCTTCAAGTTTCTGTCATTCATTTCCTGTGTAATAACTATGAGTGCATGGTAACTCAGGATCATAAAAATCACTTCTTCCTAAAATACTTTACATGTACTATTCCTAAATTACTTTACTATGTACTAGTAAGTACATAGTTAAATAATAAGAATAGAATTTTTGAGATAACAAATCATGTTCTACCCATTTAGGAAAAGGACAGTAGCTAAGATTTTAATTCAACAACACAACATTTGCTAACATGACCATTAGAATCTAACACCCTTAGACAGATGTCTAATATAAACTGATCTAGTATTTCAAACAACAATATTTATTAAATTTAGGAATGGATTTGGCAGTGTAGTTTAGAAATAGATCACTTGCCTACCATGTATTAGATGTTGAGTTTAATATTACAGAATCACAAAAGAAAAAATTTAATAATATATAATTTTTTCAAACCAGAATCATACTTCTAGAATTTTATGACAAAGACATAATCAATCAACCATATGGCAATTTTATATGTAATGATGTTCGCTGCAACCAAAAGATTAGAAACTAACTGAATGGCTCTTTAACAAATTATAATACAGTGAAATACTTCAGAATTATCCATATAGTGAGTATGTATTTCCATAGATAAGCTTATAGATATACACACATATACATAAATATATACAATTCCTAAGACCATTCATTTGAAAATGTTTATTATGCTGGAGCATATAGCACAAATTAGGTTTCAAATGAAATACTGGGCCATCATCATTTTAAATTTATTTTTATTTCATAAATTGGCATAATTATATGCATTTGTCATATACAGAATGATTCTTTGAAAAATACATTGTGGAAAGGTTAACTAAAGGTGGTTGACATATTTATTACTTCATATAGCTGTACTTTTGTGATAAGAATACTTAAAAGCTATTCAAGCTGAATGCCAGTGGCTCATGCCTGTAATCCCAGGTACTCAGGAGGCTAAGATTTGAGGATCACAGTTCAAACCCAGCCCAGACAGAAAAGTCTCCCTGAGACTCTTATCTCCAATTAACCACTCAATAACTGGAAGTGGTGCTGTGGCTCAAGTGGTAGAGTGCTACTCTTGAGCACAAAGAGGTTCTGGGACAGTGCCCAGGCCCTGAGTTCAAGCCCCACAATGGAAAGATGAAAGAGAGAGAGAGAGCAAGCAAGAAAGAGAGAGGGAGGGAGGAAGGAAGGAAGGAGGAAGGAAGGAAGGAAGGAAGGAAGGAAGGAAGGAAGGAAGGAAGGAAGGAAGGAAGGAAGGAAGGAAGGAAGGAGGGAGGGAGGGAGGGAGGGAGGGAGGGAGGGAGGAAAAGAAGGAAAGAAGGAAGGTAGGAGAGAAACACAGAGAGAGAAAGAGAGAGAGAGGGAGGGAGAGAGGGAGGGCAGGAGGGAGGGAAGCAGCAGCAGAAGGAGCTACTATTATTAAAGAATGTGACATTCTTTTAAACAAGTCACTATGCTGTTGCATATAGATCTCTTGAACTCTTTCCTAATTTAATAATCCTTGATCAACATCTCCCCAATTCTCTCTCCCATCAGATCTGTAAGACTAAACCTCAAAATTGTAATTTCAGAGTTAAAAGTGGTCATTGTTATGATAATCACAAGCTCAAAAATACCAATTATTAAGTGACATGAAACTAATCAATGTTCATTTGGTAAAATCACAGAACCTCAAAGATAAATGAAGCCTAAAAGTCACAATACATGAATTTCCTTCAAAGGAATGAACTCGAGTCCAAATGTGGCCAGCTCCTCTTGATTAAATGGACACTTCAGGGACCAACACTCTTCTGAACTCATTAGGAACAGGCTGGTCCAGATACATTACCCTAGGTTCAGAATGTAAACTTTCATTTGAAGGATATAGCTAAATTTCTAAAAAATTAAGTTAGCATGATCCAAAACATCAATTAAACAAAAGATGGGTAGGTCCCTGTGTGCCAGTGGCTCACACCTATAATTAGTGATTCAGGAGACTGAGATGTGAGTATTGAAGTTTAAGTTTATCTGAGCAGAAAAGTCTGAGAGACTCTATCTTCAATTAAGCAACAAAAATTCTGGATTGGAGGTATGGCTCAAGTGGTAGAACATGAGCCATGAGTGAAAAAGCCAAGCAAAAGCACAAGGCCCCATTATTCAAGCCTCCGAATGAGTAAGTACCAGAGTCAGAGCTTGATTCTGCATACACCCACAGTCCAACATGCACATATACTCACTGGTGTCTCATTCATTTCTGAAGCTTAAAGGGATGAATCCGGAATGGTTAATGAGTTCTACTTTACGGAATCTGCTAGTAAACTCAAGCACTTATTTTTGGTAAATTTACCTCAGAGGAAGCTAGAAATAATACCCTTCAATATTTTTTCAAGGAAAAGAACCTTTTCAATACCAAGGCTCTCAGAAGAAAATCTTTATATTAGCTCTCCACTAAAAAATGTACACTTAAATCTTGTTTGTGGCAGACACCAGATTAACTGGGGAAATGTCTTCATTAATCACAATCTGAGATGTGGACTGGAACCAAAGAAACTCAGGCTTAAGTCTCGGGTCTTCCACCAAATAGCTCTAAGATTTTAGGTGATTTACTTGTCCTTTCTGACCCTCAATTACAATCTCTGCACTGTAGGGAGGGTGTGAGACTGGAACATGACAGCAGATGAGCTACTAGAAATGACTTTATTAGACATTAGTATTACTATGTCAGGAGGTCTGAATGAGATCTCTCACTTGCTGAAAATTAAACTACAGTGTGTGTGCCTAACATGCATGTGAAGTACGGCTCCTTAGTTTCTGTAACGTGTGTATGACATTTTCCTCTTGCTTAAACTTCAGAAACAATTTGCAAGTTTACATAACTGAGCATGGTCAGTGTTATCTTCGGTGTGCCCAGAGCCCAGTATATCTGACCCAAATCAGACACTCAAAGAAGAGAGATAGAGAGAGAGATGAGAGAATATATGTGTATGTGTGTGCACACACGGGCCCAGGCAAAAAGGAGTATAAACAAAAGACAGCAGCAGGTGCTTCTGTTTGTTATTCTATCCAAATTAAGTATACACAATTTAAAGAATTAAATAGCTCTAAAATGTTCACTATGAAAACCACCTGTCCCATGTGTCATCAATTTCCTACTCCTTAGCTCTCTTCCCAGATTATTTTTTAACACCACAGAATCAAATAACATGATCCCTATGGCTACTTTCCCAATGGCAGCTAAAGATCTGACATTTTCTCTATCAGACTGCCCTACACACATCACCCCATCCTTCAGATACATAATTTTGGTTAGACTGATATCCAGTTTATATAATTGTAGCAATGTAAATATCATCCAGAACTGAACTACATTTATTCACTTGATTTTTCCCTACTACATAATGTTTCCTCAGGATTGAATAAAGATCTTGAATGTTTCCACCTTTAGTTTCTTTTATACTCATAACTTAATTCAATCCAAAACTAGCTGCCAATTTCCCAGACCTCCTCCCAACTTAAGACGTACTGTACATAATAAAAGTGAGGAGAGTTCATCTAGCCGAGGTCTGGACTGAATGGCCTCCATCGACCTTACTCCAATGCATACTAGGGCATTCTCTAGCTCTCATTTTTTTCTTGTCTGTTTCTGGGCTCTTTCTCTCGCCCTCCTTTCCTTTCTTCCTCTCTCCCCCCCTAGCTTTACTCTCTCTCTTCTCCTCCCCCGTCCCTCACTTTGGTGGGGCACTTCTAGTCGCTTCCTGACACATTTTTAATCACCTCAATGTCTGAGAAGAAGTATCTGAGAGTGACTTCTCTACCCAGCACTTAGTTTGAAGTTTGACTAAGGCACTCTGGCGACAGTTTGTAATGTTCCCTGGGGACCCCCCAGGTCATTCTCACTGGCTGTATCTTAACTGCTGCTGCTTGAAATTCCATATTGAAACACTAAGTTCTTCCATTTCCACTCATTTTCCCCTTCTCGCTCTCCTTGTAATTTTCCCCTCAGTGTTGTAAAATTTCCCAAGCAGGGGGCTCTGCTGTTTGACTGTGTTGAAAGCCAGTGGGTCCTTTTCATTTGTTTTTTTTTTTTCTTTTTCTTTTTTGCTATTTTTATTTTATTTTTTTAATTTAATTTAATTTTTGTATGAACATACTGTACAGAGGGGTTACAATTACATGGGCAGGATAATTCGTACATTTCTTACCAAGCATTGCAGCCTCCTCCTTTGTTTACCCTTCACATCCCTTCCCTACCTCCCCCCTACTCCCCCACCACCCAATCCTACCCCCTCCCCCCCCCACCAACGTTGTAAAGCTCATTTTCGTACATCCAGGAGATCTGAAAAATGTTTTGAATGACTTTGTTGCTCAGCTCCCATTGTCTACTCTCTTCCTTGTTATCTAATGAGTTTCCAAGACTGGCCCTCTGGTTTTCTTTCTTTTTTTTCTCTCCTATTTCCTATGCTTTAGCCTTTTGCTCTCCTCTCTCAAAAATATCTTCAATTGTGCCTCAAAGTCCTAAAATCTTTTATTTTTGCTACAGTGTTTCGACTTTCAAAAGCTTTCTGTTTCTATTTCTTTTCTTAGAAGTTGAATGTTCTTGTTATATGCTTAATATTTCTTTCCTTACCAAATATGAATGTATGAATAATGAGGTTTTTGAAGTTTTCTCTTTCTAAGTAATCATTTTTGTTTGTTTTGGGCTCTTTCATGTTATGGATTTTCTTCAAATATTCCTAACGGCCTGTATCAAAGAGTGAAAAAACATCAGAAAGAAGGTAGTGGGAAGCCGGA